GGAGAGGGCTGCCCAGGAGGACAAGCAGAAGAAGCTCCATCAAGAGCACAACCTGAAGGCGAAGGAGGAGGGCAAGAAGGAGCACCGGGAGCGAGAGGAGCAGCTCCTGCAAGAGAAGCTGTCCACGGCTGCGCAGAAGAGGCTGAAGAAGGAGGTGCAGCTGCAGAAGGAGAAGAAACTGCTCAACCAAGCAGAGAAGCTGAAACATGAGGCCTTGCTCAAGGAACTGGCCAAGCAAGAGGCTGAAGAGAAGGAAATGTTGAAGGCCTCTCTAGAGATGAGTTTAACCAAGGCTCAGGAGAACTATGAACAGCTAGTGGAGAAGAGGAACCAGGAGCTGAGGGAGAAGGCCAGGCGGGAGGACATGCAGATCCAGAGAGCCAAACTGGCAGCAGAGAAGAAGGAAAGAGAGCAGAAGGAGCACTTGGAGGCCCTGGCTAGAGAGACAGAGAGAAAGCTCCAGCATGCTGCCCAGGTGGCCGAAGAGGTTGTCCAAGAAAAAGCCCGCAAGGTGGTCTTGAGCCGTCTGGAGAAGGAGAAGGTGCAGAAGATGAACAAGCAAAAGGTGGAACAGTATGAGGACTTACGGCGCAGGGAGATACTCCTCTCTATAGAGAGGAAACTGGAGAGGAGCGAGCAGATCTTCAAGGAGAAAAAGACTGTCTTAGAAAATGCCAGGTCTGTCGCTCGGGCCTCCTTCCATGTCCGGGAAAAGGTACGGGAGGAGACAAACATGCGCACCTTTGATAAGATGGCCTTGGAAGCAGAACTGCATGCCCACCTGAACAAGAAATGAAAGATCTTGTCATGGATGAGTGGGGATACATCACCGGTTGTCCATCATAATGCATCAGAAAGCTCCTCTGCATTAACATTTAAAAAACAACAACAACCAACAACTACCCTAATTTCTTATTTTGGGGGAGCAGGGTACCGCACAAAAACATGGCAGCTATTTCACATACTTTTTAAAATATGTTTTTGCTCTGGGTGTGTTTTAAGGACTGACCTCAGTCATCTTGACAGAGGGGAAGCGAGTTTTTTGTGTCCTCCACCCCACAAGCACACGTATTTTCTCAGAGAGGGCTGCAGAAGTCTGCCTGAAGCTTCTGAGTTACCGATTGATTGTCTACACCAGAGCTGACTACAGCTGCACTCTTCGGTTGGAAATGCAGACAACAGAGACTACTGACTACTAGAGCCTACTGACAGAGAACCAAAACCACCCCAGCCGATTCTGGCTTGAGTGACAGGCAGCTTGGTTGAAGTTACAGGACTGCATTTTCAAAGCCGCTGCACCCCCACGCTGAAGGTGAGGAGGGCTGGAGTAGAGAACACCATATGTCCATGGGTGCCCCTCGCCCGCTGCTGGTGCCAAGCAAGAGAAAGCACAGATCAAGACTTCGTAGCACCATGTAAGTAGACGTTATGATCAGAGCTGGGGAGAAGCTGTTAGAAGTGCTCACAAACAGTTTCACTTTTGCTATTTGCAACTATTGCCCTTCCCAGGTATCCTCACCCCTCCTTCTCCTTTCCAAGTTTCTCTTGCAAACATTTGTACAATTTCTTGGTTTTTTCAGAGGTGGGGGAAGAAGGAGAGAAGTTTGTGGGCAATCCACAAACTGACGGGGACCCACGCAACCCACTTGTTCATTAAGATATAAAAGTGAATGAACCTGTGGAAGCTAGCCTTTGCGGCAAACACGCGGATCCATTTGTAAATGGAAATTTGCAAACAGATTGCATAGAGAAATTGCTACCCTTGGGAATTCTCAAAATTCGAGGAGACCCTCAGCAACCTTATCCAATTTGGCCTGCCTTGAGCAGAAGGTTGGACCGGCTGCCCTCCAGAGGTCCTCTCCAACCTAGTGGTTCTATGAGTTGCTTACAATGAGACATTTGCCCAGCTCTTATCATTGTCTACTGAGCAGGGCAGCATTTGTCTGTCCACTGGTGCTAACAGTTGTATTCTTATATAGGGCACAAGAAAGAGTAGATGTGCAAAGTAAGGTACATTACAGATTCTCTTAGATGAGGATCACGGCTTTTTTACAACTCTAACTCAATACTGTTTAGAGGGAACTGAGTCCTTCTGCCATTAATGCACTGGAAATGTGAAAAGCCTACCTACAACCTGTGCGCAGCATTCAAGTAAGACAGTGTTCTGCTCCAGGTTTCCACATTTACTATCTGCTGGGTTGCAGTTATGAGCACAGATCCAAACCGGGCGCTTTCTGCTGGTTTTTTCTGACTCTGGGCAGCACCAGCTCTCTGGTCCACCATCCCTGACGATGTGCTGGGTTGTTGTGGGGGAGAAGCAGCAAGAACAGCCAGGATCTTGTTTCCTTGCGGATGTCTCCGACATGCAACACAGTAAAAGAGAAGACCAGAAGAAGGTTGGCATATAGCACAGACATGCAGTCCTGCGTGCATAGATTGCTTACCAGAATTTCCCAGGAGGTGACAGCAGGTCAAAAACCTCTTAGAAGGCTTTAAGAAAGGTGTTAAATGAACAGCAACAACAACAGTAGACCAAGCACACCCTGGTGCCCTGCAAGGCTGGAGACATTATACGAACAGTGCTGAAAACGAAGCAAGTAGGGATTTTCTTTGATTTTGATGGAACTTGCTCTTCTTTGAATCACGGTATAATTGGTGCTGTTGAGGGCAGGCAGCATGAAAGTAGGAATTAGGGCACCTGAGCGATGTTTGCTCCATCAGTCGTTGGCTTGCTGTGTAACGCCAGGCAAGTCCTCAGGGGCTGGGCTTGCTCCTATTGATGTAACGGAAGCAGAGTCAGGCTCTTGGGATTGATTGCTGGGACTCGCAGGAAATAGTAACCCTTGGCTTGGCAAACGCTTCAAAGACTTTGGACAAATGATGCTAACAAAGCACAAAGTACTATTTTATTATTTATTTATTTATTTGAGTGGTTATTAAAGTAAAACATATCCGTTGGTGAAAAGCACTAATTAACGCCAAAATCTAAAAATATCAGTGGCTGTGGGAAGGACAGCTGCATTACTGTGTCCTGCTAGGAGTCTGTCCCCTCGCCCTCAAAACAGCAATCAATTTGAACAGTGAAACCAATCCTGCTGTAACACTGGACAAGGCCCTTGATAAAAAAGTCTTCACATTTTGTTTGTACCGCAGTGGTCCGTGTGTGCCCTTGTAGCTGCAAAGACCTAGAAAAGAGATGCCCAGTGGCCCAAATCTTCCCTTGCTCCTTGGCAGCACTAGTGTTGGGATAAAACCTGCAGTGACTCCAGCATAGCCAACATTTCATCTTGTTTGTAGCCCTTGGGGCTGCAGAGAAAGCCTGCCAGCACGGATGTGAGGGCTCTTCCTCCTCGCAGCATCACATGGTGGTTGAAGTTCACTGCTTGATCCATTTAGCAGAGGGCAAATGGGGGAGGCTGCGAAACAGCGGAAAGAAGGCATGTTCCAGTCTATAACTGGAACAGCAGTTTTTCCCTAAAGGTCTACTGCAGTCTACCTGAAGGCTTTGTCCAAACCTCCCTCTGACGGGGCATTTCCAGTGTAGGCTGAGAACGTATTACTCCCCAGGAGACATGTCTTGGCCACTGACTGTAATTACACCTGGGGTCCTGCTGCTGACTGAGTTTGACACCTTGGGGCTACAGCCGAACTAATCAAAGCACACCTACAACATGGTGGTAATTGTTCCTATACTGTGCAGTGTGCAGCTCAAGTTTTGAATGTGCAATCTAAGAAAAAAATATTTTTTTTCAAAAGACATTAATCTGTGTATGGATATTTTTTATTTGTGTAATGGTTCCAGTCCAAAGTCTGTGAAAGTCAATGGAGTTTATAAAGTCGTTTAAAATTGCGGCATGGGAAATGAAGTCAGCAAGTTGGGTGGAGGCGTGAGAGGTATTTCTTGGGTCTGCTTATGCATCTGTTTATTTGAGAAGGAGTTTTACTGCTGGATTTCTGTGGGAACAGAAATTAAACCCTGGGACACATGTAAAAAGTGTGGCCCTTTTAGATGAGGCTTATTTGGTGTTTTTGATACTGAGCTGCAGGCCAGAGAAAACTAAAAATCAAAGCAAGCGACATGTTACTTCACAGCTCAGAAGTGGATCATGGCTTATTTAGAGCAGAGGAACAGCTGATGACATTTGGTTAGGTCCTGCAGAAAGATAACTTAGGTTGGTCCTCCTCTGGGATTAGAAAACACATTTTAGGCTATTGCTGTATTATAATCATAAGGTTATAATAAAGACGTTGTTTCTAGGCCATTTGCGTGCATGCCGCAGAATGACCGCTAGACCTTGAAATACCTGCACTTTAAAAGCAACAGCAACAAAAGGACAATTACCAGGAAACTGCTGTGACTGACAGCACATCTTAGATCCGGCTAGCATCAAATTTTCAATTTTCAAGGTTTCAATTCCTAAACACTTGGAGTCTAGCTCCAGGTTTCACATTGGATCCCATAGATCTAACAGGACAACCCGAAATCTGGATCCAATGCCTCTAAACATACATCTAAAGCCAAACACTGACATGTGGACACACCTGTAACCTCACTTAAAAACCACTGCACTGCTTACTACTGCCCGTTGACTAGGACTGCTGCTAAAAATTGACCTGCTAGAAACCACTCTGAATGTTTACAGGGTTTCTGAAGTTGAGATATTGAAACATTAGAGAGAAAGACTCCAATATCATTTAAATGTTCTAAAAAGAATTGCAGGACCAAGTCCTGGGATTTGTTTTCGGGTAAACCTCCCATCATTATATACTAATGTTTTGCATAGTGAGACAACATGACCAAGCACATAGTATCGGAAAAGAAGAGTCTGTCACACTGTTGGCTATGGCAGAATAAGACAAGTAATTTCAGAGGCCCCAGAACTGTGCAGCCTGGTTTCCTTGCCCGGGTGCCCTGTGATTCTCACTTCAGTGAAACCAAGGCTGCAGGATGACTTCATCTTGTATTAGATATCAGAGAACCAATACATGAGGGAGAACCATTGACTAAAGAGCAGTTTCTTTTGCCTGAGCTCTGGATGAATCTTTCACACGTTTTGAGTGTTCACAGACTATCTTGTTTATGTGGATTGTCTAGTTTTTTAACAGCATCTGGGCTAAAGCTGGAGCCCTTCAGTGCCAGTGAGAGTGGCAACAATCTCTTCTGCATTCTGCCTCATCACACGAAATTCATAACTAAAACACGATCTCTCTGTAAAGGTTGAATTTGGCAGACACATTCAAAAGCTATTAGGAGGAGCAGCTGCACCACCACTAGTTAATATTTTACAAGGTATTTTTTAACCCAGTTTATCATTAATTCTTTCACTACATGGATGAGAGATGTGAGGATTGGATTTCTCACCTTGGTTACCTACTGTGTTTCTCTTACGGTGCTTATGGTGCTCCAGGCTTATTCTGTGCTAAAATTTCTCCTGATGCCAGGGAATTCTGTTCACTAAACAAATGCTGAATATGCAGTGCACACAGGTCTGAGAGGAGACTTATTTCAGTGTGCATGTCTTTACTAAGCCAAGCCTGGACAGGGAGATGTGGGAAACAGAATATGTGATACAAAGTCCATCAACTACTAGTTTTCCAGAAGTTCTGCTAAGAACAGCCCCAGAGCCACCTCTGCTAGCTGTCATCAGGGGATTGACTGCTTCAGGGAAGTGACATTTTCTGCTCCCTTACTGACCTCAGAGAGAGCCAGGCTGATCACATCCTACCTGAGGACAGCTTCTCATTGCCACCAGTTGTTACACCAAAACAGATTTGCTTTCAGCTATGGGTGTTCTT